CGTGCCCGCACCAATACCAGATGCGTCCCGGCACTCGGCGCCTACTACAATACCAGTAGTGTTGCGCCCGGCGGTCGCACCGCCCGCCTCCACGGCGTCCGACTCTTCCGCGAGTCCGTCGATCACCTTTCGACAAAACGGATCATTCTGCTGGGCTTTCAGAAGCTCTTCTTTGCTGAACACGATTCCCACGGCGCTCACTGCGTCTAGGTGGTTGATCGTCTCGTCCGGGGTGGTCAGATCTGCTGCCTCCCTTTGGGACTGAGTCACGGCTTCGCCTGACAATGTGGATGTCGTTGGCTCGGCCTGGGTCCTTGCGGAAATTTGTGTGCAGTCTACGGGGGCTCGTGACAATGCGTCCGCCACCACGTTTGTGCTGCCTTTCCGGTACCGCACGACGTAGTCGTATTTTTGCAGCATCAAAGCCCATCTTGCCAAGCGACCAGCGGGTTCGCGAAGTCGGGAGAGCCATATTAGGCTTTGGTGATCTGTTTCGATCACGAAAGTGGTCCCGTCGACATAAATGTCGAAACGCCGGAGTGCAAAGACGATGGCCAAGCACTCTTGTTCGCATGTGCTGTAGTTCCTTTCAGCTGGCGTCAACGAGCGGCTGGCGAAGGCCACCGGTCGGAGTACACCTTCGTGCTGTTGGAGCAGGACCGCGCCCAAGCCAAGATTGCTGGCATCTGTTTGGATCAGAAAGGGCTTGTTCAAGTCGGGTAGCTTGAGTTCAGCTGTGTCCGCGAGCGCTCGGGAGGTGCGGCGAAAGGCCGCTTCCTGCTCGGGACCCCAGCTCCAACTCACGGACTTTCGCAAGAGGCGTGTCAGTGGTGCTTGAAGCGTCGCGCAGTTTGGGATGAATTGGCGATAGAAGTTCACCATTCCCAAGTAGCGACGGAGGGAGCTCACGTCGGTTGGCGCGGGAAACTCCAGGATTGCCTGTAGTTTGTCGGGATGTGGCGCAAGGCGCCCGCGATCCAGTTCGAACCCGAGCAAGGCGATGCGGGTTTCGGCTATTTGAGCCTTTTCGGGGTTCAGGGTCATTCCCGCGGCTTTTAGCCGGTCGAGTACGTCCTCGAGATGACGTAGGTGATCTTCGAACGTGTTGGAGTAGACGACAATGTCGTCGAGATAGGCCATTGCGTGTTTCCATTTGGCTTCTCCCAGTACTCGGTCGATCAATCGCTGGAACGTCATTGGCGCTCCGCACAGACCGAAAGGCATTCGTGTGAATTCGAAAAGCCCGCGGTGACAACAGAAGGCTGTTTTTGCCTCGTCACCTGGCTCCATCCGAACCTGGAGGTAGCCTCGGCTAGCGTCCAGGGTGGTGAAGTACCGCGCACTGCCCAAGTTGGACAGAATCGAGTCGATGCTCGGTAGCGGGTAGGCGTCCTTTCGTGTGACGTCGTTCAGACGGCGGTAGTCCACGCAAAGACGTGAGCTGCCGTCTTTCTTCGGGACCAGCACCACGGGGAATGCCCAGGGGCTGTTAGATCGCCGGACAACTCCGGTGTCGATCATTTCGTCCAGGGCACGGTCGATGGCTTTTCGTTTAGCCAAGCTTACGGGTCGCGCGTTCTGCCTTCTTGGCAGTTCGTCGCCCGTGTCAATGCGATGTCGCACTTCGTTTGTGCAGCCCGGTCGGTCCGTGAACATTGCGTCATAACGGCGCAACAACGACGACAGTCGGGCTTTTTCTCGCCCTGACACGCTGCACGATTGCGTGAGCAGTGGGTGCGTCATTTCCCCGATGGGGGCGGCGCTCGCTGCCATCGGCGCTGGACTCGGTGTCTTGGGGTCAATGACCCGGTTTAGGGAGTCCCTCGCTTCCTCTCGACGGCTCGTCGCGTGCGCCAATGGTGGCGTTGGCGGTACGGCCGGGGGTTCGCAGAAGGGTTTCAGGGGTGCAAACGTGCCCTCCCGATAGCCTGCGCTGCTGACGTCGATTACAATGCCTGTTTTGGCAAGGAAGTCTCTGCCCAAAATAATGGGCACCGATAGGCCAGGGAGATGAACGAAGCGTTGTCGTCTTACTCGATTCTCCCATCTCGCGACCAGCCGCGCGGTACCAGCCGAAAGGGCGGTTCCGCAGGCTAGGCGAAAGGCAGTGTTGCATTCTCGGAGTCGGACAGAATTCTGTCGGAGGTAAGTCAACACTTCGTCGCCGAACATCGAAGCGCTTGCTCCGGTGTCGAGGAGTGCCTTGAATGGCTTGCCGGCGATCGTCACAGAAATGAACGGGGCCGGCGTGCCGGTCGGGAAGCCTATTCTGTAGGCGGTCGGCAAAAGAGTGTCCATGGGACCCTCTGATTCTTTGTTAGCCACCGGTCCGTCCGTCCAAGGGCCGTTTACCGGTGGCTTTGCTCGTTTCCCGCACGGTGCGATTCCGTGTTCGGCCGCTCCGGGCACTGGCGAGCGAGATGACCGGGGCGATTGCACCGAAAACATCTTCTGTCGTCGCCTCGCTGGGGGTTCCGCCGTGCGTTTCGGTTTTCGCCGGCTCTGTCGTAGCGTGCATCGGCTCGCTGAGATTGAGGGATCCTCGTTTCCTCCTGCCTCTCTGCCTCGTTGGGGCGCGAGTCGGTGGTTCTGAACTGCGGCGTCGGCCGGCTTGTTCGTCTACCGTAGGAGTACGGGTCGAGCGCACGATCTGAGATTGCGTACGTGTCTCGGCCCCGATCTTCCGCATAGCTTGCGGAATCGTAGCGCCTCGGTGTTCGAGATGGCGTGTCCCCGCTCCACGCGCAGCGCGGTTCGAGGGCCGCTGACGCTGGAGGCGGAGGCCGGTACGCACGGGCAGCGAGAATGTCACCCTGAAGGCGCCGGGCCTCGGAGGCGAGCTCGTTCAGGTCGCGGAAACGGCTGCCTCGAAGATACGCAGCGAAAGTCGGATGGCTTTGGCGTATGACGCGTTCCACTCGCTCTGCATTGGGAGCTGAGGGTTCTGCGAGCTCGAAGAGCTCTTGCATGGCTCGTACGAACTCCAGCAGGGACTCGTCCGGATGCTGGGTTCGCTGTTCGAGCTCCCGCCGCATCCTTCTCTCATAGTCGGCGGGAAGGAATTCGCGGCGGAACGCCTCTCGGAACTGATCGAGCGTTCCGGCGGGTTGGTCACCGACAAGTCGGAACCAGCGGGCGGCTTCGTCGGCGAGCGCGATTGGCAGAATGCGCTCAAGTATTTCACGATCGGACATTCCCATCGCGCGTTGGTACTTCCGTAAATCGTCAAGGAAGTTCGTAGCGCTCGCTTTGTCTGCGTAACCCCGATACGTCGGGACGGGAATTCGGACCGGAGGTCGTTGGGCCTGTGGTGCGAGTGTTGTCGTTCGCAACGCACCTGTCAGACTCTCAATCACACGTGCCGCGTTTTCGAGCAAGGTGTGATGAGGCGCCGCAGCGGTTTCTCCGTGGGGAGACCGATAGGCTTCGCTTTGTGCCGGCGGCGGAGCACGCGTGTTCAGGGAAGATCCGGGAGCGATGGCGCCCGTCCGCAATGGCGTCGGAACCACGCTCGGCTCCAGGGGTGCGCGGTAGGGCGCTTCTCGTTGAAGTGGGGGCCGCGCGAAGGCGTCGGCCGCGGTCGCCAGCGTGAGCAAATCCGAGAAGTCGGTCTGCATCGTCACGGTAAGCGCTGGTTGCGCGAGGACTCGTCACTCGGCAGCAGTCGCCACACACAGACGTACCGGAATTCTGGTCGTCGGCCCCACGTTGGGCGCCAAATTGTGGTCCTCCTTGGGGCCACTGCCTTTGGGAGTACCACGTTCGCGGCGAGACGCTCTACCGCGAAGCGGGTTCGTACTCGCGTGGCATGCTGCTCGTTGAGCGCAAACAGACACCAGTCACGTTGGTAACGGTGATAAACTGTTTATTTACAATGAAACAAAATAACAACAACACGGCGGCTATAAGCTGGTGAACGCCGTCGGTGTGGAGATCGCCCACGGCCGAACGGTCGCTCACAAATGTACAAAGTACGGGGTAAACGCTCACCGGTGCGCCGGAAGGGTCCCCGTTGTCGCCACCGCCGAATCCCAGGAAGAAGAGCGAAGCGAGACTGCTGTCCGCTGGTTTTAAGATAACGGCGGGGGCGAAGTGGCCAATCAAGGAGCGACACGTCGATCTCCTTTGTGCGGGGGTCCGTTACGGAAATCGCCCCAAGGGGGGAGAGGAGGAAGCCACTCACAGTGGTAAGCAGTGCCACCTCTCGCTACGCCAGCGCGGCCGCCACGGCGCGCCAAAACGCTGACGCGGCAGAATGTTGAGGGATCACAATCCCCACAATATAAACATTTAATCACTCACATTGTTGAGTTCTCCGGCGGTCGCACCTCACGGTATTCAAACGTCCGTCCACTTTCACGTCCGTCGCACCACCCCTGCGTCCTCCCACCGACCCCTCGAGCCCCCGCCGGTCCTTCCCTCGCACCCCCTTTTCCCGGCGCCAGGCCGACGGGTGCCTTCCTCCCGACGTGGGTGTTCTCCCGGCTCCCCATCCATGCCGTCCAGGCCCTTGGGGGTCGGGCTCCTTTGAAGGGGGCCCGAGGACGTCCGCCGCCGCCACCAGCCGGCCACTATCAGCCTCGATCGGCTACCGAGGGTGCCGACGGCTCGCCCTTGAGCCGCCCTCGGCCGCCAGCGTCTGGTAGCAATCAGGCGGCGGCAGAGCGGGCCCCCACACACGTGACAGCATAGCTGGACGTCACCTTTTGTCACGTGACTCTGCGTCGTGGCACCATAAGGTGATGTCGAGTCAAGTCACATCATGTGACGTGACACCTTGTTACATCATGGCATCACGTAATCTGACACCATGTTACGTTAAGGTATCATGATGGGACCACACGTTCGTGTCACACTAACTCAGTGCAGCACATACTGTGCCTTCCAACTTTACCCATAGTACTAAGATGCAATTTTCTTTTTTTATGAATTATTTCATTGTGGGTTGCGCAGCATCGATGCAGCGTGTTACGAGTCGTGGGGTGCTGCCCTGTGTGCAGGAGATCATAGAGTTCCCGGTGCTGAAAGTGAACGGGCGAAGCTTCCAGGTGGAGTCCACTTTCCACCAGTACGTCCAGCCCAGGGTTCACAGAGAACTGAGCTCCTTCTGCACCGAGGTGAGCATGAACTTGAATTGGGAGGATTTACTGTTGCTTGATACCGATACTAGTACGGGGTCATTGCAGGAGAGGGAGGAAGGAAAGTTAGCATGGATTCGTCCTCACAAATTTCGTTGACATAGCATCTGTTCGTTCCTACAAGTGTCAGGGTGGGTTCATTTCTACAAATATTGTTAGCATATTTTCATTGCTACAAATACTATTAGCATGGGTTCATGCAAGTCAGCATATTTTAATTTCTGCAAATGTTAGCATATTCTAATTTCTACACTTGTACACATGTTGTTAGCATGGGATGGGCTCATTTCTATAGTATTTTTTTTTTAATTTTTTCTACCCCTCTTTTAGAATACTTCTATGGTAGTATACCAAATTAATAAAATCTGAAGGTAATATTCAATGTTGAAAGAAAATGGGGCGGGGGGGGGGGGGGGGGGGTTAATTAGGATTCTAAATAAAGAATAAACCAGATTTTTTTAATGTGGAGCATCTGTTTCAGATGTAGTTTTTATTTATTTTCAAGAAGTTTTGCAAATGCAAAACATGTATTTTTACCACCTCACAAATTTATTCAGTTAAGTGCTTATTACTTAACCTCACAAATTTATTCAGTTAAGTGCTATTTTTGTTACCTCTAAAGAGGTAACAAAAATATTACAAAATAACCCTTAGATTGCAAGTTTTGATTAGATGTGATTCATAACATATATGTTTAACTGCTTGGCAACCTTTTTCCTATTTTGATATCACTACCAAGTTATGTATGTGGATCTGATACTCGTAACAATACAAAATATTGCCTCATTCTTGTCTCATAATCTCGTGCAGTATGTTTTACAGTGGCAGCTGTCAGTGCTTCTTTTTGGCAAAATCCGCACACCACCTCACTGTCGCAGCACTATCGCTCTGTTTCCACCATTGTCGCCCTTGCACAACCCCGTAACTTATAGCAAGATGTGCTATCGCCCCCTCTTCCCTCCCCCCTTCCCTCCGCTGCAGCTGCCACTGCAACTTCAGGGATTTGGAAGGTTCCTTGGCACGTCTACAAAATACTCCTTCAAATGACGTGTGTGACATTGTGCTTACATTTCGGATCCATACAATTCCCATTCGTAGTGGTCAAGGACTTCCACATAGACGTCTCCAAGGCCGGATGGTGTTTACTCCCGACAGCTTCAATGTCACCCTCGTCACCGATGTCCATACACCCACTATCAGGAACAGGAAAATAAATAATGGTGGAAGCCATTACCCCATCTTTATCTAACCTACCTAGCTAGCTTACAGTGTTATAATTATGTTTACTGTTATATATATATTTTTTTTTTTCAATTGCCACCCCCTTGTATAATGCCCCACGGGCCCTTAAGGAAAATAAATGATGAAATGATGAGAAAATGCATCGATTTTGTATTTGCAAGGGGCGTGAGGATACGAGACTGCACGCACATTCTGGCCTATACACGGATCACAAGGCTGTCTTTGCAATTCCCAAGTAATATAATAACAGGAAACAAAACCCAGCATTTTGGTCAAATGAAGTAATTAACCAAATCCACATTCTGTGAGAACATTTAAACCAAAAAGCATGTCTCAATGTAATTTTCCCGCCTAAAGCGCTTCTCGTACGAGCTTTCTACAAAAGCACACCTCTCCTAAGTAAACATCTCCTACAACTATCTACTAAAAGCAAAGCTCCTAAAGCACATAAACTAAAAGCAAATCTGCTAAAGCATATCTTTGAACAATGCAAAAGTTGCCGCTGTTAATCGCAGCACACTTCATGTGGTCGTTTAAAATTTTTTAGATCATGCGTGCTGTCTAAGCGCTTGGTTGCAGCCCTCTATAGTTACACCAGTCGAGTTTTGCTAAAATTGAACATTGCACTTGGTGCTGAACCAACTACCGTTTGTCTACTTCCAGCTCACCGGCATCATTCAAGATATGGTGGATGAGCAGCCTTTCTTTGAAGAAGTTCTTGAGGTATGCCAATGTCTGTATCTGTCTTAGAGGCCCTGCAAAGCTATTGTAGAAAGGGATAGATAACCACCTTTGTCTCCTAGTTTTCGCGACGCTCAAACCGGCGATTGGCAGACACAGGGCCTATAGCAAATGCCTGGGGGAGATAGCTGGCTGACTGTGTTAATGCTCTGCGGCTCGGAGAAATCCTGGGCTTAATCCCAATTTTCGCCTGTTTCGATCTGGATGACGTCGGGGCACAAGGTTGCTTGACAAACGGCTAACCGGCTGAATGCCTGCTGAGAAGCTGGTGTAACCTTTTTAAGATCGGCCTTAGTGTGAATCACAGTTTCTCGTGTGTAATACTTTGGCAGTGCTCGTGTTTAGTCTCCGTAAATCGATATCAGTGATTTGTTGCCTCAATGCAATGCCCTATCATGAAGGCTTGAAGCACATGCTCGAACTCTGCCGGCTTGTGGTAACAATGAAGCAATCAATAAGAAACAGAGTTCTAAGAACAGCAAGGTGTCTAGAGGGAGGGTTGGTTCTAAATCTAGGCTGTCCCTGCATAAGAGGGTGGTGGTGGCGGGACGCCTCTGTGTCAGTCCTTGAGAGTGACCCTGTGCCGTTCGTGGTCACTCGAATGAGTGTGTCCTTATTGGTGTATTCTCACAATGGAGTTTTTTTTTCCGAGGTGGGTATTAGACGTCGACGAGCTCTGATGTCACGTGCGCGGTGTCACGAATGTTCACTAATCCCCCGAGCCCTCGGGGAGCCGCGAAGAATGTGCAACCGGCTCGCAGAACATCTGTCGTCCCGTTGGAGCGACCGTTTGCCGTCCTTTTGGGGAAGGATTACGGTCAGCTGCATTGAGCTCTGGGCTGCCTTTCTTTTGTTTTTTCCTCCCCTCTGTTCGACGTGCCTGCAAGGGTCACAAACGGGCTATCGAAAAGAAAGACTCTACCGACTCAACCAATTGCAGCTCCGTCGTGTGAATGCTTCCTCTGATTTTCGCATACCCTCCTCCTTTTGTGGCCTTCTCGCAGTTCTGTGACATAGTACTTGGTTTTCTCCACAGAAAAAAATATCTGTCGTGCAAATACACTAAACGTGTTGGTCGCACGCGTCTGACTGTCATTGCTAATAGAGCTTCCAGCGGCTCATGCTTACATCTTACGATGTATCTTGAGTTTTTGGCGAATTTCCATGGCCTGCCTGTTTTCAATTTGGTATCTAGATTGAGCTTCTGGTAGGCAGGTGGTGGTTGAAGGCCCTCCATGGCAATCCACTCATTGGGAGAAAAAAAAAGGAAAAAAGAGGCATATTTAGCAGTTTTGAAAAGGAGCAACTTTATTACGTGAGAAATATTTCACATACTTGTATTAACATGAGGAAAGCCCCGATAAGATGAGTTGGGTAAAACAAAATGGCAATACAGCCTTATTTATTTGAATATAGTTTGAGGTTCTATTCTCTGGCATGGTGCTTTAAGAAAGGTCAGACCATATAAACAAAGAAGCCAAGAGTGAGCAAAATTTCCGAGGCCATAGAGTCAATTGAGACATTCCATCGTATAAGCCTTTGTATACATCACTGCCTGCTTACATTCACTCCTTGTTCGGGAGAGCTGAACGCAGCTTTTCTTTCTGTCTAGAACGTTAGCGGGTCAGTGCTTATTCAACCCACTTTTGCTTCTTGTAGAAGTTCCACCAGTGGATGTGCAGTGAGGGTCTCCTGGGACCTCCAGAGAAGCGGGTGGCCTTCGTCACCTTCGGAGACTGGGACCTGCAGAAAATGTGAGACGCGTCGGTGCAGCATCTCTCGACAGAAATGGACACCTTTTTTATGTCGAAAAAAGGAGCACGTCACAATGTTTGTATTAAACGGGACGGCATTTCTGTCGGCAGCCCCCGCATGAAAGCTTTTATTTGTAACTCGAAAGGGGTGCGCAAGTGAATAAATTAAGAAGAAAGCACAAAATTACAAACGTCTTTCTGGGTGAATTGAACCAAAGACCCCGGGAGTGTACTCCAATGCCTAACCGCTGCACCAAGGGGGAGGCGTGCGAACCGACGATTATTAAATTCGACGACTTTTCCTCCGCGGAACGTTTTAAGTGGGTAGCTCCAGCTTTTACTCCCGCCGCACGAGGGCTTGTGCAGCCGAGGCACGACCAAATGCAAGGAGCTCGCCCTTTTGTCTGCCATTTTGCAGGAATTCCACAGCTTCCAATGCAGGGCACACTTTTGAAAGAGGTCTACGATAAAAGTCGTACGCATACTGGAGGTGCTCCGGTTGTCCTAACAATGCCTCGCAAGAGAAAGAAGCGAACTCGCAAGGGGCGTCGTTCGTCGCGCCAGTGAAACGCCACGAAAGAGGGAACGGCATTTAGCCAGGGACAGAGAAGCAAGGGGGGCTTGTTCTGCTACGACAGAGCGAAGGAACGAGGTTCGTCTCGATTTATTCGGCGGAATGGGGCCTTCATAGAAAAAACATAGAGATATCATTTTTACGTAGTCCGCAGCAAAGCAGTGCAGAAACACAGCCCCGTCTTCTTTATAAAGAAAATGGCTACAGATAATTGTAATTGATTGTTTTTTAGGATGTTTATCATCATGTAAAGACAAACTCAGACTGCACTTTAGCGTCCGGTGCTGCGGCTCGAGGTTGAGCGAGTGAGGGATTGTGCTGTAGACTGCCGACTCGTGGGTTTAATCGATCCTTCCAGTCTCCATTTGGATGAACATTATGCTGGCACGCATTCATCTCTTCACTACTGCATGGTGCATGTTAAAGACCACCGGTTATTGGTCATGCTCTACTGGCCAAATTTCATCCAGTCTTTTTAAAGGGCAACTCCGTTTCTTTTCCAGTAGTGCAAAACTATACAGTTCTCTTTGTTATCATCTACAAAACCCCCATGGCAAATATTACGACGGAATTCCGCCTAGAAGTTCATTAAAATCGCTGTCAAAGTTTGACAAGCACGAATCCGCTGGTTTTGGATGAGACGTGCGGGCCAGACAACACTGCCCGGCTGCATTTCCGCTTCCTCCAAATTCCTTCTCCCGGCACCCCCGGCACCTCCGCGACGTCATCAAACATGTACAGCTTCTTTTTTTTTTTTTAATTTTGTTTTCTTTCCCGGGGAGAGCACGGGTGGCGCCAGCGCCGTGAAAGACGTGAGTGACGCGCTCGGCCGGCCCGGCACTCGACTATTGATACTACTGATAAGCCGATCGCCTCGTTGAGCGCGGCTTGTGTTACATCGCATACTTTTGAACACCAAGTAAAAGGAGGAGAGGGAAGCTGCTTTTGTAAGAATTTTGAGTGACAGGTTAATCTTCTATAATCTTCTGGGAGGAGAATAGCGACGCCTGTGCTAATCCGGGAGGCGCAAAGGAGGATCCTGATAAGAGGGGAGCTCCTTCTTCCCCTTGTATATCACGTGGGTGTACATGCTTAGTGATGCCGAATATCCAATGTTGTCCGGCTTTGCCACCGTTTCGGTTTCGGTTTCTGATCATGGCTAGAGTAAAATTACACGAAAAATATTTTATTTTTCGCGAAACAAAGGACTGGGGATTGTCTTTGAGTGCTTCAAAAAGCGAAATCGGCCACTATCTCAAAATTTTTGAAATTAAGCAAAGTTGCCCTTTAAGGCTGAAAAAAAAAAAAAAAATTGCTTTTTATTTGTGAACACAATATTCGGGGCTGTAAGGCGCATTTCAAGGGATGATGCACTTGACACAACGGTTAACCATTAATTAGTTTCCGTCCAGCCAAGGTTTGGCCGGCTGACTCGCAGAGCGCCGCGTTTTAAAGCCGAAGCACGCACTTGATCGTGCGACACCTCCAGCCGGAGGTAAAAGTGACCTCTCGGTAGGGTTCTGTGTTTTCTCTAAGTACAGATAAACCCCCAAAATTAACCCCCGAGCCCATTTTGTCAAAAAGGGGGGGGGGGGGGGGGGGGGGGGGGGGGGGGGATTGAAAAACACTAAATCAAAGTTGTCCTCGAATAAAAAAAAAAAAAAAATGATGCCGAAATTGCCACTTTTGTTACGCCAATTCTCGACGAAATGCGTTGGCACTTAGCGCAGGGGTTCCGACTCGGCGAAGGATGGGGATTTTGATCTCGCAACGGTGTGCACCCTGTTGCGTTTGTAGAGCCAATCTTTCCTCCCAAGTGGGGGCAGTTTTGCACTAACCGCTTCGCCGCTGTGCCTCGGGTTTTACGTCGTCGTGTACGTTGTGCTACCGCCACTGCCGCTCGATCTCCTCCTCTCCCGCTTCTGCAGTGCATCACTGGAAGCATGCCAGAAGACTCTTTCCCTCTTGTAAGAGGGAAAGTGGACGTAACGAGCGAACGAACACAGCAAAAGAGCACGGCAAGAACCGCACTGCGGCCTCACAGAACCGGTCCAGTCCAGTCCAAACCACGACTGACAGAAATGAAAGACGGCTGCTTGCAACGGGGCAATAAAGGCTCACAGATTTAAAGAAACCCCAGTTTCATGGAAAGAAATATTTTTCTACAGTTTTATTTTGTCTCGATCCGGAAAACAATACCTACTGGACTGTCTGCCAGGCTGCGTCTTCCTTCGAGAACCACGCCCATGTTTTCTTTTCTCGTCCGTACCGGAACGTTTTTCCGCTGTTTGGGTCACGCACATGTTCCCTCGAGGCTGGGGAATCGTGCGTCTGTGTCCTGTTTTACGGCGAAGGCTGTTACGGGCTCTTCCCACCCATGGAAATTATGTCCGTTGTGTATGTTGTAGTTGTAGCGGTTGTTGATGTAGTTGGCGATGTTGTGCGTTCATCGTCGGTGTTGCAGAATCCTGGAAAAAGATTGCCCGCCGCCTGCAAGAATCAGACCTGTTGTGCTGTATGCAAAGCGGAAACGTTACAAGAGAGCTACGCCACAGTGTTAATAACCTGCTTTATACTTTAACTTTTCTAGAACCTATTCCCCACTGCACGTTCTCGCTGAAAAAAAAAAACCCCACAAATAGCTGATAACAAATTGCAGTTGTAGCGCTGTCAGTGCCAAGAGCTTGTGCCAAGAGATGCAGTTTCACATGCCCCTAAACAAAAAGCAACAAAAACAAAAGCGTTTTTAAAAAAAAGTCAGATGTTTATTTTGTTTTGAACGCTCTTGTTCAGGCACCCCACGGTGCGTGAACGCAGCGGCGATGCCCAGCGACTTCGCCATGACAAATCGCAACTTTCGCTGTGATTGTGCTGTAGATCAGGGGTTCTCAAACTGGGTTTCTGGGAACGCAGGGGTTCCACAAGCTGGTCTCATGGGTTCCGCGAACACCCAAATTGCAACCCCCTCCCCCCCACGCCGCAGGCTGCGCAGAAGAACGATGCAAAGCGCCTTCATCTTACTTTGTACTGACATCGCGATTGATATGGTGGGGATATATGGGAAGCAACACAAGCAAAATTGCCTACAATTGTGCATCTGTTGCATCTCAGTCGGCAAATATGGAGGGGGGAGGGGGGGGAGGGAGGGGAGGGAGGGGAGGGAGGGAGGGAGGGAGGGAGGGAGGGAGGGAGGGAGGGAGGAGGAGGAGGAGGAGGAGGAGGAGGAGGAGGAGAAGAGGGTTCCGCGGCAGTTTTTGAGGCTTCCTGGGTTTCCGTGAGACCAAAAGTTTGAGAACTCCTGCTGTAGATTAATGCAGGACCGCTCAATTGTTGTTTAAACCTAAGCCCCGCTAAGTGCAGATTCTTTTTTACCAGCGCCGAAAGTAGTACTCTGAAAAACTCAGAATCTGGGGGGGGGGGACAATGAGAACCGAGGGAGCACCCCTGAATTCGAAGAAAATAGAACTGCCGACAACATGGAACCCCACTTATGGACTGTTCTCTGTGAGGTCCATATGGACTTGTCTCTGTTAATCTTGGTAGCACATTTAACGAGGGACACCACCTAAAATTTGCAATTTCTTAGAAAAAAAAAACTCATTTTTATCTATTGTGGTTCAACAACAAATAGTGCACACTCGTGCACATTTTTATTGCTATATCTGAAATATATTTGCGGAAAAATAAACCATTTTCGGTAAGCCGACGATGCAAAATCATGTTTTGGACATGTGAAACATCTGTGTTTCCTATTTTCTAACAGCTGTAGCTCCGCACCAGTATACCCTAGAACAATAATTATACTCTCGTTGGAAATAGCATTTCTTTGCAGTTTTAGTACATTAAATATATTTGTTTGAGAGTAAACAATTTGGGCAAGAACACCACAGAAGTCCATCTTTCCAGTGGAAGAGGCTATCCACATGGCCAATAATCAAGAAGCTTGCCCTGATTGAACAGAAAACTAACTAAAACCAACATTTGTTTGTAGAAAGTGACGTAGGTTTGTCTGCTTTGTATTTTGACCTTGCCCTGCCCATAATTGCTTACGCTGGTTCGTGTATTGCAGGCGTATCCAATTCCTCACTCGTTTCATGATCAATGTCCACATGTCGACAACAAAATGACACTCGAAGAAAGCGTTTTGAGCTCGGACTCGCTCAGCAAGGCCATGCTGAGATTGGGTGTAAGCGGAAGGCACCGCCTATGTATGCTCTTGGTGTGCTTTAGTTGCCACCCCCACCAGTAAAATCAGATGTAGTGGTGTATAAACCTCAAATAGGTTTTCTCAGTTTCACTTTTTTACAGCAACTTTCATTTTAGGAAAGTTATCATTTGAATTAATTGCAGAATTAATTCTTCGCTATCGATGTTTCTGAACTGAAATTTAATGAGATATGCGGCTAGATATTTATTTTTCTATTTAAATAAAATTTTTATTGCCAAAAAAGTAGGGTTTTGACAAGGAGAAAGTGCGCCATTAGCGTATGTGGAATCTGTTTCAAATAAACATTTTGCTTAGGAAAAGCGCAGATTTCAGGGTAAAAAATAGATAGCCACACCCCCATATGTTCTAGTTTTGGCTGAAGCTTAGAAATGCTCAATATTTTGCAGCAATATTTTGATAGGTTTCCCTGCCAAGTAAGGCGACTTATATCTGTAGTTGTATACCTCCCCATGTAGCTTACCGCAAAATTGTCCTAAGGAGATGAAACGTTGTACAGTGCATTTAGGCAATGAGATGAATAGACCCTTTAAATTTCATCAATATAGAGTGACTGGTTTAAAAGTCGGCAGTCGAACGAGGTATATATCAGTAAGGTACAACAAGCTGCTCGTTTGACGAAAGTGGATACTATGAATGTATGGACAGTACGGGGCAGGCCTCGACGTCTCTCCACAGACCCACTTTTCGGCAGATGAGACCTGCTGAAGGTTAGGAAAATTTATTATTTTAAGCTGTTGCAAATAATACCCAGCGAAAAGCTTGTTGAGAATATGTCAGGTGGCATAAATAACTATACATCTTTACACACAAAATTGGATGACCATTGAAAAGTATGGGCAAATGATGGTAATCAAGCTAAAGATTATCAGGTAGCCAAAATCTGTAATAATAATGAATATCGACTTCAATTTCGTATATAAAAACAAAATGAAGCGACTTTTGTTGTGCAGTAATATTGCTTTCTCAGCTTTATTTTGCACATGTTTTTTTCATGATGTTTATATTTTCACATGATAGACTTTATTTTCTCTGATTCTATGATTCTATCAAAAACAGAACCTTTTTTTTTTCTTTTTTATCACATGGTTGTGCAATTTTGTGTTTTTCTCTGATGTGCGAGATTGTCCTTTTTTTTTGTTGCTAGAAACTATGTAAAATGCCTCATGCTAGAACTGTAAAGGGGAAGAGACATCATTGGGCGTCATGCCCTCATAAGAAAAAAGAAAATAACAAATAAGAGAACTTATTACCTTTAAATTCCGTAGGGACCCGAGAGATCGCCCCGTTTTTTTGGCTAAATATCTACAACATAAAAATTCTGAAACATAGCCCACCCTTTCATTCCTCTCGGATATCCTGCAATGTCTGACGGGAATCACATGAACCGTGCGATCTGCGGTACCAGTACGTGTGACAAGCGAGTTTGTAGTGGCTTCATGCGTTTTCAATTTGTGTGCGCGGTTCCCATGACACGCAAGTTGTTCCCGTGTGTTTATTGCAACGTGAAATGCGAGCCTGCTACTTCTGCGGTATCTGTTTCGTGATGTGCAAGTTTGTAGCAGGTTTCGGCATTTTTCGTCCACGATTTGCGAATGCGATATTGGTTTCTGTGACACTCAAGTTGTCTCCGCATGTTTATGGCGTTATGAAATGCAAATCTAGTGCATCCACAATCTGCGATATCGGTTCTCATCATATGCGAGTTTTCGGCAAGTTCCCGCGTGTCCTTCCTACCGTGGAAAGTGAATCTGCTGCTTCCGCAACCCGTCATCTTTTCCTGTGACCCAGTAGTTTGTAAGTGAATTGCTGCATGTTTATCGCATCGTGAAATGCTAATTTGCAATGTCCGCGATCGGCGCTGTCTGTTTCCGTTACACGTGGTTTCTAGCGGATGCCCCAGTATTTTATCATTATTTGACGAACATTTTTTTGTCACATCCCCAAAGATAGACCACCCCATGTTTTTCGTCATTTATCACTTCATTTCGGGTGGACATTCTTACGAAATTTTACGGTAGGTCAGTAGAACAGAGCACTCATCAGTAGATTGACAAAGGGTTTGAGAAGTTGATAGACATTCCAATAATTTGGTATATGTCGCGGTACTGACTTGCCAGACTGAGAGCATATTAGTATTGCTGCCTTTGGCATTTCTTCATTTGTTCGCTCACTGACAAAACAACTTTGTTTCGCAGGCTACCTTCCCAGTGCTCATACTTCAAGATTCCCGTGCCAGAGTACCTAACCAGCTGGATCAACCTCAAGAAGGTAATGGTTATTTTATTAAGGAGGATATGACCTGGGAGGGTCAACCTTTCGAGCCGATCACTCAAATTGATTCGAATTTTCAGGCTGACCTGAACCCTATTAGGAAGGATTATGTCTAAAGTAACGTTTCAGTCTTGTAGGTCAATTCTGCAATGTACAGTGTAGACCGCATATAACGTATGTCGCGGGAGTCGCGAAAATCCGCACTATAAGCGGTACCGCACTATAACCAAAACATCAATTTTTCAGGCCAAAATACATGCCATGAGACAACTTACCTTTGTAAAACAATTTATTTTATATTGGATAAAAAATAAAGCTTAGTTTGAGGGAAGTCTTTATTTCACCAGACTAGTACACTTCTCTCTCAAGTGTGTCACACATTTTGAAAGAAATGAGCGACTTTTGCCTGGCGCAGCCTTTTAACGGTGTTGCAGGTTGCGGACGGACGTTGCGGGCGTTCATGATTGCTAACCCTAATCACTTTTCTCCGGTGATGAAAACGCGTAAAAATTTGCATCTCTTATACGGTATGCGCCAGTAGTACCTTCAACTTGAGCAGACGTATGAAATGCTCTAAATAAGAAATCCGGGCGATGTTCGAAAACACAAATGCTTAGAAAGCACCACTGTAGTCGAAGTAAACAAACACGATGACACGGGCGTTTCTGCTGTCTTGAGAGTGTCGCCACGACATCGCCGCACGAGTAAATGGATCTTCCCTTCTAGTACGTGCTGGGTTATCATAGCGACACACAAGGAAAATTCACAGTCAAGGATAGCGCTTTTACGCGGAACGATGAGCTTCCACCACGCCGTCCACGTCGACGATCACCACCGACGCCATGTTTGCGGATAGAAGAAGCCGGCCCGCGACCGGCATGCAACGCGCGCAAACACTTTTCCTCGACCTGCGATTGGTCTGTCGTCGCGGTTTTTTCAGACGCAGCGGAGAGACGCACGCACGTGAACGACACGTGCGTGCGTCCCTCCGTCGCTATGGCAACTGAAGCCTCTCTCTTCGCTTCTCCCCGCTTCTTCGAGCAACCTCCTTGCCCCGCGAGTGCCGCTTGCGGGTAGTGCCGTCGGCGCCGTTGTCTAGTGTCGCGCAGGGAAGCGTGCGGTCAACGAGCTGTTCCAGAAACCGCACTATAACCGGTGTTTCCCTTCGCGCACCTGCATTTTAAGCGGTATTTAATTACATGGAGTTCTATGGGAGGCGAACCGGTGGTTTACAAAAGCCGCGTTATACCCGGTCCTGCACTATAAGCGGTTACGTTCCAAGTGGTCTATACTGTACTGTGCTTAGCTAGCTACAGAAAAAAGTGACCCTGTAAGGAAATGGATGAAAGAAAAATAATTGCTATTCACAACATTTTTGTTTTTTAATGTGAACTAGAACATCCATAGTGCAAGTTAAGCTAAAAAATTAACTGTACAAAATGCAGTTCTGGAGAAAAACAATAACACCCAGAAAAAACCAAAATATTTCACAAAATCTTGTGTTTTAAAATGCTGTAAGCGACCTAATTTTCATGAGACCCCAATTTCTGTGAGTTTTTCGACTTAAATAATATGGTGAAAAGTAAAGCCCGCAGATATGTTTTTCTATGGTAGCAAATACATAGCATACAGTGAAACCCGTTTAGAACGAACCCACGTACAACGAATTATTGTTGATATCGAACTCGCGGATAATTTAAATAAAAGTGCATGTAAAAAGTACATTTTATAATGAATAGAATATTGGCTATATCGAATTTTTTCCCCCCAGGAAACGCGCAAATAATCGTCTTCTAGCCTGTCCCCCCCCCCCAGACACGATACAGAAGTCGAGGTCGTGTCTCTGACGAAAGCGATGGAACCATCCCTCAGACGCGGCAAAGTCGTGGCGTTTCAAATGTAGTGCAAACTCTGCTGCCTTCGCCATGATGATGGGGCCGCTGAGAGGAAGATCTTGGCTTCTCATCTTTTTAACCCACGTGATGAGCGCCTTCTCCAAATCCGGATGTTTAACAGAGCAAAGTATTTTTTTCCGTCATTGTTTTCTTGTTGCGGACGTATGTTTACAACGTACTCCTCGGGATCTCGTGCTTCTTGGCAATCTCGACCTTGCTCGCTTTTCCTGCGTCTACTTGACGCAAAATCTCCACTTTCTCTTTGAGCGTTTTGGCGTGATAATTTTCTTGGGCCAGTATACCCGATGACGACATCGCGGTCTCAAAGCACGTAGCACGTAGCCCGGTCGTACAGCCAAAACCATCAGCTAAGTCACCAGCACAAATGGATCGGCGATCGCGCAACGGTTCAAACACAGTAGGCCCGGATCAACAAGGCACGGAAACAGAATCGCAGAACTGGTAATGCGGAGAACAAAGGGACGTGAAGGGCTTCGAAAAGCGCGAAAGAAACCACTTTGAGCGCCCCTATTGGTCTCTTGAACGCCTGGCGATATTGTTCCAAATATTCATGTGCGCATTCCTATTGGCCCGCAGTGGATACCGACGACGCACTCGCGTTTCCTGCAACGCGCCTGCCGCATTTAGGAACGCGCAGCGACGCGGCGCCCGGCGCGCCGCCTGTCGCTTGACCGGAAAAGCTCCACGCATGGCGGCACGTGGTTTGAATTATCGGTGCCGGAAACGATTCGAGCGTGAATTAACGGGTTGTTTTACACATGTGCCTCTACGCAGCGTGACCGGACCATGGCGACTGGTTCGAATTATCCAAAAGTTTGAATTAATGAGTTGTGAATTAACGAGCTTTCACTGTATGTCTTTTACGAACAAATATCCTTCTCAGAGCACGCTACAGTGTTGCCGGGAACAAAATTTGCGCTCGGCATGCGGGAAAAAAGGAACCGGCACTCGGAAGGTTAAAGGCTACCTTTTCGTGTGCAGGCCTTTGTGGAGGCCACTGGCCACTGGCCCAAGACCCTGCCCGAGACCCTGGAGTACTGCAGACTGGAGCAAGTTGGGAGGCACCACAGTGGCATCGGTAAGCAACACTGGCGCTCTCTCGTCCTTGCACACTTTCCTCGTGGGTTCCACAGGGCGGTTTCACGCGTCATACCTCCGGCTCATAATCCGGCCGGATGCCATGTTGGCTAACGTTTGCCATGCGTATATCTTTTCATACGTGGAGGCAGTGTTTTCCGCGGATTATCACGGCAGTTTCTTTTTCATGTTTTTCTGATATCTTCTTTTATGCATCTGATTGCGTAAACGAAGACACGAAAGAAGGTAAATTTTTATTCCGCCGCAATGGACCTTGTGTATTGTATTGTATTCTGCGGCGCAATCTCTTTGAAACGAGAGTCGAAGTTCGACACGCCTTTTTCGAGTAACCATCGCCATCTGGTGAGTTGTCTGCGAACTACAATAGAAGAGCAGCTTAGCATGCCCCCGCCCATTAAAACACATTGGCATCGTGCTGTTGTATTGGTTTGCAGTGCTTTTTATACCCTATACTATTGATACTATAAAGCAAAGCGTCAAAATAAACTAAATATGCGCGAAGCTAGATGTTGACAATGTTGGTGTCGCCATTTTCGCAAGGCACCACGTCCTGGTGTCCTGCGAAAATGGCGACAGCGGGAGTGAACGCATGCGTAGTAGCTTACTGGAAAAAGGTCCATTGTGGCGGCATTTTTTTATGCACGCTTACTTTTTCGCCGGTAGCGGCAGGCTTGTCGGGAGTGGGCCGCAAGTTCATTGGAAGGACCACGGCCGGCCGCGGCCCGGTGGAAAAACCTCCGCTTGAGTAAACATATTTTGCGTGATGAAAATGACCGAAGCATTATAGTGGTGAGCAGCTTCTTTAAAATACTCACAAATGTCTTTGAGTTTTGTCAAATTTGCGAGGGAGTCGTCGAAAATAATCGGCGAATTTCTTTTGGGGTCTAACTTTTGCAAGATCTCCTTGGTGAAAATGAGCACCTTAATCTCTGAAAACCAGTTCTGGTGAAACACAAAAACGTAGTAGACTACGTGAAACTCTTGGTCAAACATTTCTTTTCTAAATCGCAACAATTTGTGAATATACGTGCTTTTGCCTCATTTAGAGGAGCTTATCACCGTGATGGACGCTGGCGTTTGGAATCGAAATTTATCCAGGTCCGGAGACATGGTGACACCAACTGCTTGTCGACAAATGAAAAGATGTCGCAGACCTGTTTCTAAGTATATCTCTCAAGAGAGAAGCAGATTTCCCAACTTTAGGCTGCAGACGCGACTCATGGTTTTTGATAGATGCTAATTTTCACACACGTTGCAGCAGTGCGGTCTATAGCGGAGCCTGGACAAGGAAGTAATACCGATTCAATGTTTACGCTACAAGAGATATGCAATAAAAATCAACGGAGGTTCGTCAAGGTTGAAGCAGACCGCGATATGAGACCGTCTGGCAGAAAATTGTGTGCACGTGACTTGACTCGAGAAAAATATCCAGCAACATCCCGAACAGAGTTTGTGGCAAGCTCAGGCACCCTTAATCGTTTCGATTTCAGGTCTTTCGTTTGTGTAAGACAAGTCTGGACATGTCTGGAAAGGTTTCAACAGATCGTAGTGTGATAGTCTTTTATTTTTTTTTCATATGCAAATTAAATACGTTGTTATGCATGACGCTCCGCTAGCTCGCTTTTTCAGTCTCATTTTTTTATATATAAAGACAATAGTGACGTACATGTCGATTTCACAGCGAGGCATCATTTCGTAAGCCGCTTGGTATAAATGCCGAAGGATCGTCCCTTGTCTCTTCGCCGCTTTCTTTCCAGAAGAAAAGGTAATGTTAGAAAAAGCTTTGTAGTTCAAGGGCCGCTGTACTTTTGGGATTATTTTCAGACCTGCCATCTTGCCTCGAGCCACGGCCCCTTCGGTCAACTCGAAATGGACAGGATCCTAGACAAGCTGCGTTCACTGCAATAGTCGTCATTGTCTGTGTTTTTAAGCATGGGGGCTCAATTCCGTGCAACATCAAGCTACCGGTGCAGGAGGTGATGCGAATGGACACACGCTACGGGCTATCCGTGTGTGTGACTCTTCAGTCGAAGAACGAGCTGGTTAAGGTATTTCTGCGAGGAAGACACGAGAGCATGAGGATAGTAAAGGAACTATTGATTGAGAAAAAGAGGGGTGACGAGTGGTCACCAGTCATTACTTTCTCGTGCTCAAACAATAATTGTAAATCGCAAAACAATAAAAAAAAAAATGGCAACTTGTCATCTGTGTGATGTGGAGAGCAGCAGCAATACTCCACCGCGGAGGCGTTACAAGTAGGGGTGTGAGAATACTCGAATATACAAATTCAAATCGAATAGAAAGCTCCAGAATAATTTGATTCGCGAATCGAATTTCTAATATTGGGTTACTCGAATATTCAAAATTTTCGGCCAAAGACGCGCGGTTGGCGCGAAGCAAACAAAAAAAGCCGTTTTTTCTCCCGATGTAAGCGCCGTGATGTTAGACAGACCATGCGAGAAGCACCTCTTGGTCCTACCATTCCACAAAAATCTAACACACAGGTTAGAAAAAAGAAAAGTAACGAACACCACAAACTTTATAGCACGCAGATTTACTCACGATCGTGACACAATCTACCCTTGAATCACAACCGAAACATCCCGTTTGCGCCGCTTCCAGAGATTAATTGTTGGGAAAACCGGAATTCCGGGCCAAAGCCTAATTCTTTTCACGAGTAAAGCCCCTCGTTTCAAATTGAAGCGCCGATGTAAAACACACTTGGCTGCACTCGCAGAAATTGGCGCTGCCCCACTGCACGACCACGGAAAGAAAACCACATTACCACGCCGATGAAACCAGCCGAGTTATCGTCGTCATTCTTTTGGAACCGCACATTCTGATTCAGAACGAAACGGAACGGAAAAATAGTGTGCCTAGATTTGAGAGGGTTTCCAACAGTTCGATAGCCGCGTTTGAATAGACCATTTTCTATATTACCCAAGCATCAAGGAGAATGCAGGGATTGGTGTTCCACGCGCCACACGCCCACGCCTTCCCCGTATAAAAGATTCTAAGTAAATAACCCTAATAAATCGGTGACGAACGCGCGTGCAAGATGCCTTTTGTTTTAGGTTACTACTGCTGAGGCCAGCACGTGTGGCGCGTGGAACACCGATCCCTGCATTCTCCGTGATGCTTGGGTAATATAGCAATAGGTCTATTACGAACTGCGAGAAGGTGATGAAAAGACGAAAGCATCGATCGGGATTGAGCAGGCAGGGCAGGCGTCGTCGCTCTTCTGTTTGCTCGCCTTCTTTCCACGCGACAACACAACACATGCACACTCATGATCAATCTGCGCTGGAGCCGTCTCCATGGCTTCAGTTTCGGTTGCTCCCCCTTTTAAATCTAGGCAGGATAGATAGACAGAAAAATGAATGCATAGTGGTAGTTAGACAATGACTTGCGCCACTTCACCACATTTTTTTTTCTTACTTGAGATTATGCTGTTTAAGCCTTTTTACTCAGATTTAACACCTATCTGTTTATTTATGTAAATGAAATCCCAGGGGCCATTTTTTTTTCCTTAAAATGGAGACCAATTATTGCAAGATGCCCCTTTTCTGAGATATACAAATATTTGTTTTAAAAAGTTGTGGTGTTAGGTTGTGCTTTTAAAGAGAAAAAAAAAGGCACGCATGACTGTAACTTTGGTTTTTTGTGACGTTTAAGGTAGATAGACTATGTTTGCACCATAAAATTGGATTTTTAGTGCCCGACGTCCAACAGCAACTGCTTTTTGTTTTCACCAGAACTTTTTTTACATTTTGGCTTTTGTTTTGTACAAGACGCATGTTCTGCACCAGGCGCATACTCTGCACATATAATAATCTTATTCGCAGCACACTTTGAAAAATTCCTACAAATAAAATCACTATTCGATATTTGATTTTCGGCTTTCTTTTCTTGATTCGATTCGGTATTCGATTCGAAAACTACTATTCGGTATTCGCACACCCCTAGTTACAAGTTCACCTAGTCCAGGTTCACAATATTCCCCTGCCTGATTGCCTTCTGTTTAGCAACTCACTGTGCACTTTTCGAAACTTCACTTCGCAGTAGATATGCATTTGCACGAGCGCGACGACGAGTCTCAAAATGTCTTCAGTCCGACGCAATGGCCAGCGTCTTTAGGCATTATGGAATGCCATTGCGTTTTTTCATCACCTTAACCGTGGAAATAACTTGTCTCAATGGCGGCGACGAATTTGAACTTTGCGTGCACTACTTTCATTCTTAAGTCCACACGGTCTGGGCTGAAGGTAGAATTTTCGATGCTCTACAGACTGCATGCGCCGAGATATCCGCTCACCCCGAACATTATCAAGAATGTGGATCCGGGCTTGTCGTCGTCGCCATTCAGATCTCTGCCATCACCGTTGGACGTTTCCTTCCGCAGACGGTCGGTTGTGCAAGTCTTGTGTTCCTCAGGAAACTCCCAAGCAGACAGAGTCTAGTGGATGTGAACGAGCTACTAAATGACTCAGAAAGAAACATGTGCTTTGTGTTTTCTGTGCTCGCCGGTCTCCATCCCGCACCCTCTAAAGGATCGAGAGCTTCTTGGTACAGAGACCATTTGTCCAAGTATTGGTTCCCCACCAGTTATCCAGTGATGTTTCTGCAAGATGGACAGGCTTTCGAGAGAAAACAAAAATCTGTGTTCGTCAACGTGTATGGTTACGATTGAGAACAAAGGTTTGTCTACGGACTCAAAATTAACGATCGTGAGTTCGAGAAGCACGTGGATTTGCTCCTAATAGAAAATCACTTTGTTCTAATCACCAACTTTGCCACACTTTTCGCAAACAGGGACAGTCACCGTTTTCGCTGTAAGAGGTCTTTCGATGGGCTTTTATTTGCACTTTGTGCTAGACAGTAATTTATCGCTATTCAAAGAAAAGAAGACAGTCTGGACATTGTGTCGAACAAAGGGGGACATATTGTATTTCCAGAGCGCACACCCGTCGGAACCTTTTC